TGCTGTTTAAAGGAGGGGATTAAACTTTTCTAAGTCTGTTTTGGATGAGTTATTAAAACAAATCCGTAACCATTTGCTTAGACTTCCACTAAACCACTCGAAAATATATGAAAGAGTGGATGGCTGCGACAAATATAACTTTCAAGTTGAAAAACTCGTCGGAGAAAATTTGCTGTAATAACAATTGAAGAATAGCAATCAGCAACCATGTGCTAGCAGCTGATACGCAGCATTCCACCAAGGAATCACTGCTCTACGAATCATTGGAAACATTGGAGTTTGTGGTGAATGCTGACTCATCTGAAGAATTCAGTTGTTTTATTGCGAATGCGTCTTTATCGTCACAACGATTACAACGCATATATTTTAGAGGTTATTATAAATATAATATTCTGATCCGACGGGACATGAACCTTGACCAAACTCTTGTACAAACTAGAGTGGGTGGATCGGTTATGAATATGGATACAAAGATGACAAACCTTACTGCTTTAGCCCGTTCGGATCGGGCAGAGCCGGCAGGGAGGGGGGTTTTAGAGTAGGCCCCCACCTGGTCGTCATTAAGCGACTGTTCTGAAACCAACGAGGCATCCCTACGCCGTTATGGGGTATCTGTCAGAGCTACCGGCCAGCGAAGGGCTCGTTCATCCTATGACGAGTTCGACAATGCGAAGCCGCACGCTGTTGTAGCGGCTCCCAGGTGGTTCAACCAGGGGTGTCGTTTGCGGACAGGGTTAGAGGAAAGAAGCCAACGTTGGGTAAACCGACCTCGGCTAAAGCTCCCAAGCCTAGCCGCCCCGCAAAAAAGGGTACTCAAAAGACGGCCAAGCCTGGTAATAAGACTACCTCGAAGCAGAAGGGTGTCGCGGTGATCGTGAGGTCACACGACAAGAAGTTCTCTGCTGATGAGGTCAAGGTCAAAGTATTAGCGGTGTTCGGCGCATTCGGACGAGTCCGGGTGTGCGCACTACGCAGGGTGAAGCCATTGAGACGAAGACGTCCGCAGAGGCAGAGGAACTGCTAAAGAGCGATGAGCTAAACTGCAGGAAATTCTATGTGGTCATGTGCGAAGTCGGTGTGCTTCTGCGCGAGAACGGGATCAGTGTTGCCTTGCTACAAGAACCATACGCCGGGGATGGGGATTGTGGGAAAACAGGGTGGAGAAGATCCCAAAGCGGTTGTAGTGATAGACAGCTCCGAGGTCGACGTAGTCGATCTATGGCAAGACCTTACCAGGTGTCAAGCGTTTGCCTACCTGAGCGGCTGGTTCGGGGAGTTGTATGTCTGTTCCCAATATTGTCAATTTGCTGGCGAAACTGAGGACAGCATACGGAGTATCGAGCAGGTCGTGGAGAAAAGCAGGCCACGAGCGCTTCTGGTCGGTTTTGACGCCAACGCTGAGTGGCATTTGTGACATAGCAAAGGCATGATGGGCCGAAGTGCGAAGGTCGTGAAAGGAGAGCTTGGAACAGGTGATCCTGGCCCACAAGTTTGAGGTTCTAAACGTACGGTCGGAAACGTCTACCTAGGAGACGACCGTAGCGGATAGCGACATTGACGTCACCCTCGCAAGGGGGCTGTGCGGAAATGTCGCATGGAGAATAGAACCAACCTGGTCCTCTAGCGATCACAATTTCATCCTGATTGAGACCACTGTGAGTGCATTTGTAATAAATTTTCTTTATTAGGGTTTGTTAACAAAAAAAAACACACTTCAAGTGGTTAGCCACTTTATTATCACTATTTATTCAAGATCGTGGATCTAAGCGAACCGACAATACAAGAATGTCCCCTTGTTTTTTTTATACACGTTAGTTTACTGATACATCTTCCCCACATCGACCAAAATGTCTTATGTTTATAACTCGTGTTGTTGATTCATATTCGTTTCTTAAATATAGGCAATAACTTATATAAGATCTACGACCGACAGTGACAGGCTGCAAGAATGGATGGTGGACGCGAATGACCAGGTACTGAGAAGGGTTAGGCGGCCTGCTAGGGCAGTGCCTCCCTAGTGTACCAACGATCTAAGAAACCAAAGGAATGACCTGAGGCGGAAACGAGTCCAGAAAGCACGAAGGAGAGGAGAACCGAACGTGGAGGACCTGCAAAGGGCCTACAGCGAGGGTATCCGATCCTACAAGAAAGCAGTGAGAGCCGAAAAGGAAAGGAGTTTGTCAATGTAGAGGGTAGCTGATCGTAGAAAGATTTACCTTCAGTAGGTCGGAATCAGCTGCTTTTTGGGATAATATTATTGTTTATGTTTGGTATTAAGTTACGGATCAGCCGAAGGAAATGCACTTGCGTTAAGATCCATTAGATGACTGAATATGTTACAAAAAGTACATACCTATCACAACGAAAATTGTGCTCCAATGTGTAAACGAAAAATCATTCTTCATCAACAAATTTGCATTGACATTGACATTGATAAAGTGCTTGACAAAAGTGGGTGGAAATGAATTATTTCTGTTAACAAGATGTACCTTTTTGCCTACAATATCAGTTTTCACCAAAAAGTCGGAAAAAAACGACTGATTGCGTAGATGGACAAGCATGGTAAAGAACGTGTGAGCGTAGGCCCCCATAATCCCATGATCGTACAACTGAAGTGGACCTAATGTAGCCCATGACGACGAGTATTATGTTATTTTAAACAGAAAAGAAATTGTAACGATTACGGAATACTTAGAAGTGGTTCACAAACAACCCTGGCCACCCAGCGTTTGGTACAGGTTTGTAACATAACGTACAAGAGTACGAAAACTAAAGTATGTGTTATGGATAACAGTTGAGATAAGATGTATACCTACTTTGACCAACCACATGTGTTAAATTTCTCATTCTGGCGTTAGTTTTCCCTGACAGGGCTCATTAACCTCACATGGAGTAATACAAGGATGTGTCCAGAAGGAGTCTGTTGGTTATTTTGTTTTACTTAAATGTAAAAAGCTAAATACTGATATAACCTCGTATAGTTGCACTCATGGAAGTGACTGGAATAAATACACATAATGTCTTAGTTTGTAACAGGTTGTTCAGTTTGCATTGGATTGTTGTGGAATTTGGTTGTTTGTTACTTTATTTATTTAGTGGGTATTTTATAAGAGACAATAAGGACAATTACTAGTGTGACAGTGTATTCTAGTACGGTTCTTATTCAACCCTTAGTCGGTGGTAAGTTTCTTTCGCATTCAGTATGTTAAAGCCTTTTAATGTACAATTGTCATTAAGTTACGAATTAATGCAATGTTATTATTAATTAAAGGATTGTGTACTTCCAAACGTACGATGGAAATTGAACATAGACCGTTTATATTTGTGGAGTTGTGTTATGGTGTAGCGCAAGAAAATGCACTCGCGGCATGTCGAGTATATCGTCAACGGTGCCCTTATCGACGTCAACCACACCCACAAACAATAGTGCGTGTAGTGCAACGTTTACGGGATACCGGGAGAGTTATCGCGAAGGCTGAAGGCCGTGGACGACAACATAATAATAATAACGAACAAGCGATCCTGGAAGTTATTGATGACGACCCCATGAGTAGCACTCGTCTAATTGCACTCCAGCAACGCGTATCTCGGACTACTGTACACCGAACATTACGTCGCCAACTTCTTCACCCGTACCATTGTCAGCCCGTTCAGGAATTGCTTGAAAGAGACCATCAGCAACGTCGACGTTTCTGTCGGTGGTTTTTGCGACAATGTATACGTGAACCAAACTTTCCGTACTATGTATGCGCTACTGACGAGACGACATTTACGCGTGGTGGAAGCGTTAATTTTCACAATATGCATGTTTGGGCAGACGAAAACCCACATGTCATTCGGGAAACCCATTTCCAACATCAGTTTTCATTAAACGTGTGGGCCGGTATTGTTGGAGATACGCTTCTGGGTCCCTTCTTTATTAATGGTCCGCTAACAGGCCACATGTATGCAGACTTTTTAGAGAACGTGTTGCCGGAGTGATTAGAGGACATTCCATTAACTGTACGGGCAAATTTGTGGTTTCTTCAAGATGGAGCACTCCCCCACAGCACGCATCAAGTACGACAGCAATTAAACGTAATGTTTCCCAGACGTTGGATAGGTCGATTTGGTCTTGTAGCATGGCCACCCCGTTCACCCGATCTCACACCAATGGACTTTTATTTATGGGAACATGTTAAGGCATTGGTATATGCATCATCTATTACCACTGTAGATGAACTTCGTAATAACATTACCAATGCCTTTCGTATAATTCGAAATTCTCCCGATATCTGGGCCAAAATTCGCAGCAATTGGATACGCCGCTGTCAGTGTTGCTTGAAGCGAATGGCGGGCAATTTCAACATTTTTTATAAAAGGTACGCTTTTGTTTTTCACTTTCACTTTTTTTTACAAGGTGGAAGTGCATTCGGCTTCTTCCCGGTAGGTACTTGTTACATCCACACTAGATCAGCTGAGCGACGTTGGTCGCCTAGATCCAGGCCCGTAATGAAACAAATTGTACGTTCAAATTTACAAAGACGATTTGCGAGCTCAATTGTCACTCGATTGAAAAATTCTATAACAATTTTTTGTCGTATTTTATGTCAGGAAACCATGTTTTTTTTTTTAATTATTATAACTGGGACACCCTGTATAATTCTCTGTTTACATTGTCATAAACAAATTGTCAAGAAAAAGATTAATACAGAAAAGAACCACATTAGTTTGTCAGACGATACATGTGTGGCTGAAGCTCGCATTAAACAGAGAAAGCAATCTTGACAGGTAAACTGGAGGAGGTGAATTTTGAAGAAGGAAGTTCAGAGCATCGGCGAGCAGAAAAAGCGATCGAAAATAAATCAAACGAAGAAATGGAAGCATTTGAAAATGTTTATTATGAAGCTGCAGCAACAATAGAAAGAATAATAGAAGCACATGATGAACGATATCAGCAGGTCAAAGATTATCAGCACAAGAAGATGGACAAGAAAAAAAACACGTGCAAACTTTAAAATCAAGCTTTCAATGTTTTTATACCAGGGCTAACAAATAATCTAACACTCATTGTGAAATTTCAAAAACCAAATTAATTAGAAGACGCAATAGTGATAGCAATTAATGAAGAGCAGGAACAAAAATCAAAATTAGAAATTCAAAAATATCAAAATATTAACAATATCAATGCCAAATTATGTCCTTTTTGCAATAAGTCAGGACATACGAGTTTCAATTGTGGATATAATAAAAATAATCCACATCCTAACATTAGACATGTTCAAAATTCTCAAAATCCTTTTAATAAGTAATCAAAATTCCACTTCAAATTTTAATAACAGATTTCAGACTCACATTAAAAAGAATATTAACTTTCTAATCAAACAAAAACTTGCACTTATTATAAAAAGATAGGGCATTTAATAAATGAGTCTAGGAAAAGGGAATATAACAATAGGATGAGGAATCAAAATAATAATCAGAATAAATCATTTCATGGTAGTTCAAATTCAACCCATTTAAACTCCCAAAATCCTTGTCGTATGATAGGGCGGAGGGTTGCACAAACATTCCAAATTGAACCACCTCAAGAATAGCAATAATAAATTTAGAATCAGTTACTACCTATGTCGGTTTAGAAATCGCTCAACCAACCCTTTAGTGGTCGACGGTACTAGTACGTACCATTACTTTTAATAGCACGTAAAATTACTTCCGATAAGAATCAGAAGCAAGTGTATAAAAGTATGCACACATGCCGTGTATTCACACGGCAAAGATTGTATTCAGAATCGTTTTTCTCTCTGAATTGTGCAGCAAGGCAAGAAATTATATAGTATATCGAAATTATGGTTATTGAAATAGATAATAAGCTGCTAATTACATTTGTTGAACAGCGACCAGTGTTATGGGATAAAATCACTGATGAATTTAAAAATAGAAACAAGATAGCTCTGGTCATTAGGAAAATTATTGAACTTCGCGAAGTCATCAATAGGGACTTCGTTGTTTTTTTGTCAATAGATCAGCAAAACCAGAGAAACTTCTGGAACCAGTGAATGACCCATGTTGAACTATGGTCAAATAATCACTGGTTCACCAAAAAGTTTAGCACACGAATGCGAATCGATAGTCGATTCGCAATCAGTCGATTCCGGAACGCGAAGGGATAAAGTCTACCCTTAAAAAGAGTACTAGGTGGCAAATTCTGTGTGTTGGTGACACTACCCCCTGGGCGATGATGACTGCGACGCTCCTATCAATGTAAATAAGCCAATTTTATCCTTTCTGTGTATTGATCTACATTGGGAGAAAGATCCTTTTTTGTAAATGTTTTTATTTCAATTTCCTTTATCATTTTATATATAATAAAGTTGTTATTGTTTTTAAAACTTGCCTGTCTTGTCATCAAAGTACCTGACCCCCAGTCACGCCAAAATAATCAATTTGTATTAAAATCAGGCAACTAAAATAAATAATTAACCAATTACCGACATAACATAAATGGCCAAGACACCGTTACCAAATTGGGCGTGACAATATAAGAAGAGGGCAAGGATTGCAGTTAGAGGAGGTAAGGGAAAAGAAAAAGGGAATGTCATAATGGAATTACCTGAAAGGATTATAAAGAGAACAACTAATCGGGGGAAAGTTTACATAGAATGGAATGTACTAAAGACGAGGAGGCTGGATTCAGTCGTGAGGTGTTTCAAATGCTTTGTTTCCTTATTGTTGCGTTCCTCAATGTAGTAGGTGCTTACGGAGATTCGGGAATAAGTTTTCATTTGTTTCCAAAAGACAAAATTATTTGATTGTACTTACATTATCTTCATATGTATTTTATAAGTTATTTATTTAGTTTAGGCTAAGGTGAGTTGCTCGTCATGTAACGAGATTATGTTTATTGTTCTAGATTCTAAAAGACAGAAGTTGTTTCCTAATGTTGTACCGTCTCAGAATATTCCTCAAAGAAGCTCTGATAAAGAAGTACCACTAGCCCGAAAAATAAAATCAACTGCTCGAGAAAATAGGGCTGATATCAGACACAGGAAAATAGTTGCATCAAAGAAAGATCTCGGACTGGCTATCGAGAATAAAAAAATTGATGTTGAGAATGGAATTGAGGACAATGATATCACTGATAACAACAGTCATCATTATGTCATGACTTCATCGACACAAGTTAATTTATTGGATTACGGAAATTATCGTCCTCAAGAAAATTGGAGTATAGCTGACCTTCTTTGTGACAAAGAATCTATATTGACAACATAATTATTTCTCATCCCGCAAGAAACCACATAAATCTAATTGAAATAAATTTTTCCGTGACGTAAATTGTATCGAAAACTGTCAAAGAGTGGTTCTTAGACAGCTTCACAATTTTGACACTTGAGGCGCTAGTTAGAATCTTTGCATCGCCAATAGAAAAAATAATGTTAAAAATAATATGCAATATCATTATTAACAACATGCGTTTTTTTCTTTCGTCCATTTTGGTCACGTATCAAAACAAAACTAAGGGCGAAGTGAAAAACCGTGTGCTGTGTGAACGCAAAGCAAATGAAATTACGGCACGGTTACCGTTAGAAAACCGTATGTGTGAAAGAAGTGTTAGGGCGTTTTTTTTTTTCACAATTACAATCATTTTATGTTCCCCTACAGTTGTTTTTTGTTTTACACAGGTGGTGATGTTCATATCGAATAAGTTTGTATAAAAGTATCATACAGATAATAATTTTTCTAACAAGAAAATTACCATTTTGTCAAAGTCCCGAAAGGTACCGTCAATAATTATGGCTGACAAAAAAATAAAATGGCTCATGCAAAGGCCTCTGAAGATTTGCCCTTAGACAACAATTTTTTGACAATTAAGAGGAAAGTGACTTCGAGGATAAGCCACTTGATTCAAATTATGTTTGTGGCGAATCTATCCATATAACAATGCAACTGCTGCAGAACAGCCTTCTGTGTTCTGCAGCAATTGCTTCTCCACAGACCCTCAACCGTGTTTATCTTCGTTTGCTTGGAGAATCCGTTGATGACATTGTTTTTCAGAGTAACCTTTATTCTACGCAGGGTAGTAAAACTCTGAATTTATCCAGGGAAGAGTTGCTTGCTTTTAAAGGCATCAATTTTCTTATGAAGAAGCTCACTCAAGCAATATAATCCTATGAAATCGATAAAAGGAGGTTACAAGTGGTGGTGTGTCGCCCCCCAAAATGCCTATGTTTCAACATTTGAAGTATATCAAGGAAAAAATGAAGAACTGAAGCAAGAATTCAAACAGTTTGGGCTTGGAGAAAGGATTGTTCTATCGTTGAGCAAACCAGAGTGGGGCAAATATAAAGTTATATATGCAGACAACTATTTTTATCTTTTATCTTTTATATCTATCAGTCTACTGGAAACGTTGTATTTGAAAAAAACATTGGCTTGTGGAACAATTCGAAGCACAAGGCTGGGTTTTCTCACGATGATGCATAAGAAAGAAATGAATCAAAGGGGTGACTATAGTTATCGGGTCTCAAATACACAAATCAGGGTATTTAAATGGAAAGATAACAAGATAGTGAATTTTGCATCCAATTTCCATAATATTAAAGAGATCGCCGTGAAAAGAACACAGAAAGATGGAACACATATTGAAATAGAATACCCATCAATAGTCGCGGACTATAATAAATATATGGGTGAAGTTGATCGAGCGGATCAATTACGAAATAGATATGGTATGATTAGTAGGTCACAGAAATGGCGGCACAGGCTATTTTGGGGTTTCCTTGATATAGCATTTGTTAACGCTTGTTATATATAACTTGCAATTTGAAAAAATTTCAACATTTGAATGTAGAAGATCAATCAGTATGGGATTTATAGCAATGAGTTTTTGTAGAATCAATTGTAGGACATCTGGTCCAATAGTAAAAAAACGGAAATATAACTATAGTGTATCACTTGATGTATGGCTTGGAAACCGTGGATCCCACTGGGTTGTTTATAAAAATAATAGAGGAAGATGTGAAATGTGCAGTTCGCATTCTATACACTCACGACCCCACATAGCAAATGTTCCACATGTGGTATACGAGGGTGGATTGATAAGTTTCCGGCCTAACCAAGAGATGACGCCACTAGGCCTACCTTGAGGTGACATTCTATAGTACCATCCTTGGATAGCTTGTAGCTATAGTTTCAGCCCGATCTCCTTGCTAGTGTAGGTTTGACAGCACGCTGAACAAGACGCCTCTGTGGTTTTCGTAAAAATGGAAAAGCAGGAAAATCGTGCTGTCATCAAATACTTTTATTTGAAGGGGTTAACGCCGAAGGAAATTAAAAAAGAGATGGACTCAACACTGGGGACATCCTCCCCGTCATATTCAACCGTTAAGCAGTGGGTTTCCGAGTTTAAAAAGGGTCGTGTGAGCACCTCTGATGGGCCTCGCTCAGGACGCCCCGTTGAGGTCACAACTCCAGATATGATCGAAAAAATTCATCAAATAGTGCTGGGAGACCGCAGATTGAAAGTGCGTGAGATAGCTGAGACCTGTAAGATGTCATATGAACGTGTGCAACATATTTTGCACCAACATTTGCATATGGAAAAGCTCTGTGCAAGATGGGTGCCGCGTTTGCTAACAGTCGACCAAAAATTGATTCGAAAAAACATTTCTACCGCAAATTTGTCATTGTATAAGCGTAATCCAAGCGAATTTTTGCGTCGATTCGTAACCGTTGACGAAACGTGGGTCCACCACTACACTCCTGAAACCAAAGAACAGTCTAAACAGTGGATTGGACCAGGGGAACCAACTCCAAAGAAGGCAAAAACAATTTTTTCGGCGAACAAGGTTATGGCTACTGTTTTTTGGGATGCAAGAGGTATTATATACATTGATTACCTTGCAAAGGGTAATACTATCACTGGTCAATACTACGCAGACTTATTGCAACGTTTGAGCCACGAGGTGAAAATTAAACGACCTCATCTGGCGAAGAAAAAAATCTTGTTTCATCACGATAACGCACCAGCGCACACGTCAATCGTTGCGACGGCTAAAATCAACGATCTAAAGTTTGAATTGATGCCGCACCCTCCTTACTCTCCAGACCTAGCCCCGAGTGACTATTTTCTGTTCCCTAATCTCAAAAAATGGCTTGGCGGTAAGAGATTTGCGGACAATGAAGAAGTAATCGAAGCTGTAAATGGTTATTTTGAGGAGCTTGACGAATCAGTCTATAGAGATGGCATTAATAGACTGGAACACCGCTATGAGAAATGTATCAGCCTTGGAGGAGATTATGTTGAGAAATAAAAAAAAAAAATTTTTAAAAACCTTGTTTTTCTTGGTCAGGCCGGAAACTTATCAATCCACCCTCGTATACTTACAATCAAAATGAAAATTGCTTTCTTTAATACCATGACATGAATTAATCATTAAAGTTTAGTTTTGTTAAGTGTTGTTCAAACGCAGACTTAATATTTATAACAATGTAAGATTACATTAGAAAATAAAATTTGTCTATTTCTGTATATCAAACAACCATGTATTACAATTACTATTCGTGACGGTGGTTAAAAGTCTATTTTTAGTTATTTTTCTCAAAATTATAAATTTATAAAGATTTTGAAAAAAATTACATAGCTCTATTAACTCATTAATAAACATAGAACGAAAAGAAAAATAATATTTTACGTGTTTTTAAATATCCGAACCTTAAAGGGCTAAATTCAAAACCTACTCGACTTCTAGTCGATACAGGTGCTGACATATCACTCATTAGGTTATCATCACTACAACCATCCACCCTTTGTTAAGATAACAAAATCACTCTGAAAGGAATAAATAATGTACAAAATCCATATCAAACAATTTGCTACTCTTTCTTAGATCTTGATAAGTTTTTGCTTTTTTTCAAACAGTTTATTTAGAGTCCACAAAAATCTGTCTTTTGAAGACAAACTTCTAACCCATCCTTTCCACGCTGCATCTGATTCCTTTCCTATTAGTCGCGATGGCATTCTAAGAAATGATTTTCTAAAATTATTCAATATAATAATTAATTATGAAAAGGATCTACTATTACATGAAGATATTTCTATTCCTCTCTATCAGTTCAAATTATTTATATTCTAATTCAAGCGAAAATATCTTTACTCTAAAGCCTGTACCGAAACCTTGATAAAAGTTAATGTACTAAATAGTTCAATAAAAGAAGGAATCATTTCTAATTTAGAAATCAAAAATAGTGTTTACTTAAGTAACAGCATAGTAAGTGTAAATTCTGATTCACCAACCTATACAACGATTTCAAATACAAACGAAAAAATAAAAATCGACAAATTGGATGTAACTTTAGAATCTTTACCAATTATTACTCTTGCCGAATAAATACTGTTAATTCAGGTTACAACAAATCACATTCATCTAGAGAGATAAACATCATAAAGGAAAAGAATATTAATTTTTATTATTTATTTATAAAAGAAAATTACTGGGATAGAAGTAACTATGAGGACAATTTCAATATTTTGGAAAAACTAAGAGAAGTCTTAGAAACAGAACAAATTCAATAGCTTTACCGAGAATTGGTGATAGTTCCGATAAATTAAGATGGAATAAAATTCGAGTAATGATTCGGTACATATTTAGAACGTCTGCAATAAACATAACTCTTTTCCATAATACCTTAATAAACCCCAGTCCTGAACAAATTCCTAAAATCCTTGAAGAAAACCATCAAAGCCCAATCTCTGAACACACTGGATTTCATAGAACTTATAGTAGGATAAAAGAGAATTACAAATGGCAAAACATGAAAAAGGACATCCAAAATTTCATTAAACATTGCGAATCATGTCAGAAAAATATTTAAATTAGTTAGAAAAAAGACCTTTAAACCAATGAGATAACGACCACTTCAAACAAACCATTTGAGAAAATAGCATTACACATAGTAGTACCATTACCTGTCACAGAATTTGGCAATAAATACATACTCACTCTTCAAGATGACCTTACTAATTGTCACCAGCTTATCCTATTTCAAATCACGAAGCAGTTCTATAGCCGATGTTTTGTAAGAAATTTTATTTGTAAGTTTGACATTCCGCCTTCCATTTTAACAGATCAAGATCGAGACTTTACATCGAAACTTTTGCAAGAAGTGTCTAAATTGTTCAAAATTAAACAAATAAATTGTACTGCATATCAACCTCAAAGTAACGGCGCTTTAGAACTAAGCCATTCAACATTAATTGACTATCTAAAACATTACATTTATCAAGATCAGAGCGATTGGGATTGTTGGCTAGAATGATGTTTTCCTATAACAGTACTGTTCATTCGATAACTAAATTCAACCCTCTATTTGGTGAAAAGGCAAATATCCCTTCTTGTTTAACAAAAACACCAGCATTCACACAAATATGATAATTATCTAGACAAATTGAAATTAAGGTTACAGAAACGCAACCATTTAGCAAAACAGCATTCGATTAATTCTAAAGAAATAAATAAGAAATATTACGATAAGAAAGTTAATTAATAGATTTTAAATTAGGGGACTTACTCTATTTGAAAAACGAATAAAATGGTTTAAATAAATCTAAAAAATGAACTCAAGTTATTCAGGACCTTACAAAATTGTAGAAGTAAATTCAAAAGTAAACTTTTATTAAATAATGGTACATGCTAATAGACTAAAGCGAGCTTTTGTTTCAGACTATTCATAATAGCAACATTTTTACGACAACATTACAATGTCTTACTAAAATCACAAATTCCGCTGGAATATTTTATGAAAACAAAGCTAAATTAAACTTTATCTAAAATTACATAAAACATGGTAACGTACCTAAATTTAGATAAATTACAAAATAAGCTGGTAATGATAGAAAATACATACTCCAAAACAAAATCTTTTCTAAAAATTTTTTGTGTAATGTAATGTAGCTCTAAAAGTAACTGATCAAATGTTTCAATTATTAAAAGCAAAGGATTTATCTTCGCATGAATTATCAAGTCAAAATTTAAATGTCAGGGTAAAAAGAGCTTAGTTTAAATAATATTCATACCATTCCTTCACTTCCAACCGTTGACTCGTGCGGTTTCAATACATGCAGCAAGTGTCAATTGACAGATGCGGAATTCAGGCGACTGATTGACGAAAAAAATGCATTACTTGAATTTTTAATAAAACATGGGGTTGTGTCGTGTCATACTCTGTGCCCCGATTGCAACAATAGATTGAACTTAAAACAAGTTGGGAACCAGTGGCGATAAGACTACCGACGCCTGTGGTACAAAGGGAATCGCCGACGACAATGCGCTTTTTGCGGTACCGCGTTACCAGGAACATTTTTTAATCATTCGCGAATACCCATTGTTCAGGTGTGCACGTTGGTACATAAGGGATGTTCTTATCGACTGGGTGCATCGTCGATCGAAAAAATTAGGTGGAGCGGGGAAGATAATGAAGATTGACCAAGCGAAGTTGGGGAAGCGGAAATACAACCCGGGTCGTCTTCTTCGCGGACAAAGGGTCTCGGCGGAATTGGACGGGGTGAATGCAGTTCAAATCCGGGAAAAATGTTTCTCGTCCCAGTGCCGAAAACGTTAGTTCACTTAATAGTGAGTAAAGGGTTGCCTGGTTCAACAATTATAACCGACGGTTGGCGTGGTTATAATTTGTTGAGTCAACATGACTACCGCCACCTGACCGTGAACCACGAACTAAATGTCGTTGACACACGCACTGGTGCACACACCCAAAACATTGAACGTTCGTGGGTATGTGTCCAGGGCCGGACCAGTTAAGAAACATTTAGCGTCGTATCTTGCGGAAAGCATTTTTCGGAGGGTGATTCCCGATCATCGCTTGCGACGGCGTTGTTTTTGGCAGGCGGTTGCCCAGCTGTACCCTCCTGCGGAATACCCTTTACCTTAAGTAAGTTGCAAGTTACATTTTACTACTTACATTACACAATTTTGGTTCCTATCCAACCATACATTCTTTATTATGTAAACGACAATTATTACCCTACCCCCTCATTATGCTCACCTACCAATTACTTTTTTTTTCTTCGCGCCATGGACAGCCACGGCATGGCGTCGGGCGATAAATACAAATTGACGTCCAGCAAGCCTTCGACCGAGTCCAACACGAAGGCCTTATCTCTACACTCATCGCCCTTTACATCCCTCACCTTCTAGTCGGGATAATCAGGTCCTTTCTCACAGACAGAAGCCTTCGAGTCCGCGTTGGCTCTGCTCTCTCTGCCAGTAAACCCGTCACAGCCACAAGGATCCCAACATTCCCCTATTCTGTTCCTGTTTTGCGCGGATATGCCCTCCCACTCTTCTATTATGACTGCTCTGTACGCTGACGACATTGCCATCATAAACTCTTTCAGCGCCATTCTCCATTGCACAGCGAGAATCAATAAGTTTCTGCCCCGGCTCCTAAACTGGTATCGGAAATGGAGACTCTCCATTAACGAGACCAAATTGGAAGCAATCTTCTTTTCTCGTAGGCTCCGAAAACCTTCCACCATCATGTCAACAACCGCCCCATCAAATGGAGCACCTCTGTCACGTACCTAGGCGTCGTCTTCGATAGAAGCCTAAACTGGCGGAACCACATTACGGCGACCCGTAACAAGGCCCTGGGTGCATTCGTCGCACTTAAACCTTTCTTCCGTAATAAGACCATCTCCCAACAGACCGCAATTATTAAGAGCATCTGTTCCTACGCCATCCCTATTTGGGGCTGCACCCATCCCCGGCGTCTTCAAATTCTATAAGGCACTTACATGCGGATTCTTCGCTCCGCACTCGACTCCTCATGGTTCATCAGAAATACCCAAATTCTGAAAGAAACTGGTCTATCTTCTCTCACCGAGGTTGCGACCAAATTTGCAGCAAATCTTAGGGCCTCAGTGTTTGCCTACCCAAACCCAAATATCTCGACACTATCCGACTTCGCCCCTAAACCAAGCGACCGTTTCAGGAGGCCCTGCCACCTTCTTCACTGAGCTGCACACAAAGGTTCATCATAGTTTTGAGCTGTCCACTTTTGTTCTTTTTAGGTTTGAGCGGTTCTTTGATGCTCATTACTAGTTTCGCTTTTTCAGCGCGAGTCCCCACCCTATTTCTGCGATGGGGCACCTACTCACACCCACATCATCCCTCCCCAAGCACTCCCATCCCCACTTTTACATATCCCTCTCCCCAAATAGTCAAAATATTTCCCTTGGAAGTAACAGCCTTAGGGTTGAAATCCCATCTCAAGGAGGGGTTTTAGTTTTTATTCGAGCTCGCACTTGTGATTTCTTTAAGACTACAACATATTGCCCAGCCGTTTTTAGGTAGGTTTAATCAATTTTATTATAACTAACCAACAGTTCTTCGGGATAGAGTACGCACAGTCCCTCTGAACTCCCCTCACCCTCACTAATTCAAACTAACAAGTAACCTGTTATTTCCTTACACCACGTCCATAGGAGTAGGTTAGCTCCGTCCGCTAGCCATTTCGAAATGGCTTCCCCCAAGAGCCCCCCACTCTTGGAGGGACTTTCAACCGCGGAAGTCATGTCCTTGGCGAGCGAGCTGCAGTCTAAGCTTGCCATTATCAACGAATATCTAAGGCTTCACTCCGAAAATTACCCTTCGACTCCAATGTGCGAGGACGTTGGACCTTCCCTGCTACTCGGGCTGGGTCGGACGTGTGATGAGCGAACAGCGCAATGACACGCCCACCGGCGCAACCAATCGGCGTCATTCGGTTTCAAGCAACGCTAGTGAGTGTGTAGTTAAAATTGCGACGATGGATTTTTCGCAGGAGCCGACTAAGCGAAAAAACGTTAGTTCGTGGTCGGAAGAAACCGAGGACATTGCGTGCGACACGAATGAGAAACTTTGCGATGGCGGAGAGAGTACTCGGATTAGGGGAAATCTGCCGGAAGACAATTTGAGCGCGGACGCGAGGCGGGTTTTACAAAATTGTGAACATGTTGGTTCCGATGAAGGCGGAAACAATTAAAGTAGCGGAAAGTCTGATACAGATGACAGGCGTAATAAAGGAATTACGCTCCATCATCGCGAGAAAGGACAAGGAAATTGAGGAGGCAAAGCAGTCCCAAAAAGCTGTAAGTACGAGTCAATTTACTTCGTATGCGGATAGATTAGACTGAAAAAAATGTAGTTAATACTGTTAGGGTAACAGAGAATTCTTTTCCGGTTAGAATTGAATCAAAGGTAGCGGGGAAAAGTGCCGATTTTGTAAAGAAAATCGTTATGCGTACGGTCGATCCCATAAAAAACAATATAGCGGTTAAGAATGTTAGGGCTACCAAATAGGGAGATTTAGTTGTAGACTGCGCGCAAAAAGAGGGCGCGGAAAAAATTAAAATGTCTTTGTCTGTTAAGGCAAAAATGGTGTTGCGGTTAAAAATATTAAAAAACGGTGGCCGCGTGTTAGGATAGATAGAGTTAGTAAGGAGTTAAATGCTAAGGATATTCACGAGACCATATTAGGACATAATGAGTTTATAGATGACTATTTCGGCAACGATATTAACAAATTTAAACAGCTAGCGGTTTTCGAAACTAGAGGAAATAGGGAAACTTACAGCGCAGTTTTCGAGGTTAGTCCTAGGCTTAGGCAAAAAATGTTAGATAGGCTAATTTATTTAAATTGCTACGACTTTGGCCATCTTTCAAAAAATTGCAAGGTAAAAGAACAGATTTGCGGTAAATGCGGCGGAAAACACAATTTCCGAGAATGTAAATCTAAAACAACTTCCTGTGTTGTTTGCGTTAGGTCCAATAGGGACATGTGCCCGTTCATACTTAGCACGACGCTAAAAGCCAGTCTTGCCCGACTATGAACAGGATTAAAAATTCAATCCTTTCAAACATAGATTTTTATGGATCCTAAATCCATAAAAATCAACCCCGACGCGGATTTGGTATTAAATTTCGGACAAATTAATTTAAGCAAGGGCAAGGCGGCTACGAGCAATCTTTTAAAAATTATTTTAGATAAAAAGTTAGATATTTGTTTTGCGCAGGAACCGACGGTCAACAAATCTAAAATTACAGGTTTTTCTAAAAATAACTTTATCATTTCGAAACAATGTAATATCCCTATATGTGCTATTATTGTTAACATTAGTAATCTATTTCTCGAGAACATTTGAACAGGTTATATTGTCATTACCTATTTTTCCAAATCGCTTATTCTCGTAAATGTCTATTTACCACCCACTGGCAGTAATGTCGACGAAAACCTCATTTTCGAACGACTTCGACAAATTGTTCATCAAATAGGTAATTTAAAACCAATTATCTTCGCGGGTGATTTTAATGCTAAGCATTACGTATGGGGCAGTCCGATTAACGATAATAGGGGTGATAAACTTTTTGAATTTTTTGAACAAAAGAACTTAATTGTCTTAAATAATAATACTGAGCCAACTTTTGTCGGACACCGCGGCACCAGTTTTGTTGATCTAACTGTAGTAAATTTTGAGGCACTTAAACTATTTAAAAATTGGCAGGTTGTTGACGAAAGAAACACTCTCCGATCACAAGTTAATTTTTTGGTAAATATCTTTTAGCAATAGCGAAATAGACTTTGTCGACCGTAGGTTTTGCAATAAAAAAGCAGATTGGGACGTTTTTTCTAAAAAATTTAGGGACAGCATAGGAAACATAGTACTATTAGACGAAAATAATGTTTCAGATCGCGCTAGTTTTTTAAATGACTGTATTGTGGAAGCTTGCGAGGCGTCGATGCCGCCTACAAAATCTTTCAAAAATAGTGTACCATAAACGAGCCGAATATAACCGTGCATTTCAGGAGTATAAAGAATTATTAATTAAAACAAGGGACGACAAATTTAAAGAATTTTTCACGCGTAATTCAGAAATATGAGACAGCCAACTACGCTACAACTGGAGACGTGGGAACTCGCGGACAATCTGACCAGAGAAATTTCCCTACGTTTCCACTGGACACCGTCGCATTCTGGAAACGAGAAAAACGACGCCGCGGATCAACTTGCGAAGGCCGCCGTCACCGACCAGACGACTGCACCAATTTACAATTTGGCGCCCAGGGCACTCGTTAAGCGACGTCTACGTAATCTTTCCCTGGAGGCTTGGAAAGAACGATGGAGAACTGCTACAACCGGAAGGACTAAGGCGAGCTTCCTACCGTATCCAATGTTGCTCCAGTAGCCGCTGAAATTCCGCCTACTGCTACTGATGCACCCTTTACTACTGACACGTCAAATTCGGTATTCTACAACACATTGTCCAGCCGATTTTAGGTAAGTTTAATCCTTTTAATTAAGGGAGATGTAGGCAATCAGAGTCAGTTGGCAATGGTGATCACCTTAAAATAACAAAAACCGAACGCAACTGAATGGTACCTATATAACAATACGTTAGCTACACGCCATTCCCGTGCACCGGCAGTCACTCACTCAGTTCGCGCGACGCGCTGGAGAACGACGAACATGGGAAGATTTCTCGCCATTTTGATCTAATTTTACGAGTTGATAAAACCGAAGGTATGTTTTAAATTACTAAACTTTTGTTTCTATACTTCTGATATGTAGTAATCGTGACGTGTTAAACTGATAATCAAAACACAGATTAATAATATATTATAAACTTTCTCGTCAGGATTGGCTTTTCTCATTTTCGCCTATGTAGGCAATTAGAGTCACAACAAATGTCGTGACTCCAATTGCCTGCATGGGCATACATTGTGTAACCTCGATGTAGCAGTGTATTTTTTGTTTGTAGATGCCGAAATTTCGTCCTAGGAAGACAAATAAAGCTAGCTGGTCCATGGAACAACTAAAAAAGCTGTAAAGCTCATGGACGAAGAGAATTATTCAATGAGAAAAGCCGCGAAAACCATGAACATTCCATTTTCCAGTCTCCAAAAGAGATGCACAAAGAAAAAAACTAAGGAACCTCGCCTCGGCCGTAACACAGTCTTCACGCCTGAGATGGAAAAAGAATTGGCAGACGTAATCAAAAGAATGGCCAATGTCTTCTACGGTTGCACACCAAGCCAGATAAAACGTGTGGCATTCGAATACGCGGAATCCTTGAACCTAAAACACAATTTTAACATGTCAAGATTAGCTGGACGAGTTTGGTTTGAAGGATTTGTTAGAAGGAATAATATTTCTGTACGAAAGCCTGAAGCTACAAGTATCAACAGAGCTACAGCTTTTAATAAAACTGAAGTTCAACGATTTTACAAGCTGCTAGAAGAGCTAATGGAAAAACAAAAATTTCTGCCAAAAAACGTTTACAACTGCGATGAAACCGGTGTTTCTACCGTGCAAGACCCTGGAAAAGTATGTGCTGCTAAAGGACAGAAAAGGGTAGAATCTATAACAAGCTGGGAAAGGGGTAAGAATATTACTTTGCTCTGCACCATGAGTACTGCCGGTGGATACATTCCCCCGATGTTTATATTTCCCAGAAAGAGGATGACGCCAACCCTGGGAAAGGATGGCCCAACAGGAGCTATTTATAGATGTTCAGACAATGGATGGACCAACGAGGATCTTTTTCTTGAGTGGCTTAGGCACTTTACGCAGCATGCCAAACCTTCTGCTGAAGAACCAGTTCTACTAATATTAGACAATCATGCGAGCCACATTTCTCTGGCCATCCATTAGCATTGCAAAAAAAAATATATTCATATGCTGTCTCTTCCACCCCACACTTCTCACCGCATGCAGCCATTGGATGTGTCCTTTTTCGGAGCATTTAAAGCTTCATATAGAAAAGAATGTGACTTTTTTATGAAGAGCCATCATGCAGAAAAAATAACACCCTATGATGTAGCTTCCTTGGTAAAAAGAGCATACTCAAGTGTTGCCTCCATGAGTAAGGGCGAAGCGGGATTTAGGGCAACGGGCATATTTCCCATAAACCCCAATGTCTTTTCAGATGAAGACTTTTTGCCAGCTGAAGTTCTACAATCAGAGCCCATTGTAGTACAAGATCTTGCCGACTCTATTTCAGAATCGAATGCTGCTGAAACTGTTGATACTATTTCCATACCAATAGCCGCTGTTGAACTAAAGATAATCCTATTCCACAGTCATTCGCTGAACCAGTGACTCCATCATCGTCTCAATTAGAAATTGCAATGCCATCAACATATGGAAACCTCCCAAGCATCCAAAATCTCATCCAGATGCCTGAGAAAGCTCCTAATCTTAAGAGAAGACAAGGAAGAAATAAACAACATGCGACAATTTTGACTTCAACACCGATCAAAGATGTTCTGATTGATAAAGAAAACAAAAGGAAGGCTAAAGCTGAGAAAACTAAGGGAAAAGGAATAGAAAAAAAAGCAAGCTACAGAAGGACAATATTAAGAGGGTTAAGAAGAAAATTCTCCAGGAAACGACTGATACTTCGAAGTCAGACGTGAACACGGATGATTTATGCCAGGATGGTGAAGACGACGATGCAGAAGGCGCAAATAACATGTGTATTGTATGTGGTGAATTTGGACAAGACAACGAATTATAGTATCGGTGCACGTCTTGTGGCCTTTAGGCTCACGCCGACTGTACTGGGAGGGATTCTGCTTCCAATTATGTATGCGACATGTGTTGCTCACCATTGTCCACATGCTGATTACCATTGCCAACCAATGTCGACAATGGTGATCAAAGCTATTTTTTTTATTATTTCTATTATGCCAAAATGTATGAACCAAAGTGATTAAAGTTGATCTCAATTAAAAGTTAAATGAGTAAAGTTTATTATAAGAAGATAACAATAAATAGTTGATTAATAGATTTTATCTTATTTCAATTTTTGCTTAAGTGATCCCCATTACCTACATCTCCCCTACTTTTAACCAACCTAATAGTCTTGGGGACCGACTACGCAACGTCCCCTTGACTTCTTCGTTCCCCTTAATCTGCTAACTAACAAAACAACCGTCGTTTCCCGTACAACCGAAGCCACGCCCAACGAAAAGCGTTTTTCACTTCTGAAGCCTGCCATTTCGGAAATGGCTCTCACCAAGGGTCCTGCACTCTAGGAGAGTCTCTCCCTCGCTGACGCCATCGTTTCGTTCGGCGAGTTGAAGGAAAACCTAACCCTGTTAGGTACTTTTATCCGTCAGCACGCTGACAACCAAGCCACGCCCACTTCCATGTCAGAAGACATCGTGCCGAGCACCTTCGCTATTACCACCGCACCGCCCTCACAGGTAGTTGCCTCGTCGAAGACAACTTCTGCCACCTCCGTCGATGGATTTACGAAAGTAAACAGCCTTCGAACCAAACGCCGAAGGCGAACGCCTCTCCTTTCGTCGTCATCATCTGCGACGTCGACGGACGAGCCCGAGCCCGAAACCGCTAGCCATGGGCCGCAGCTCCTTCCCCAATTTCTATCGTCCAAAAAGCTTTTCAAGACAATTTTCGAGCTTGGCAAGATCTGCGAGCTCAACGTCAAAGTTGAGCCTAAGAAAGCAAACGTTCCCCAATGCCGCCGCTACCAAAAATTCTTTCACACGTCCAATTACTGCCGCGCAGCCTGGGTCTGTTCTTTCTGCTGCCGAAACCATGCTTCAGCTGAATGCAAGGCGAAAGACAAAAAAGACTCCACTCTTTCCTGCGCGAACTGTAAAGGCAGTCACCGCGCTACCTGTGGCGGTTGCCCCAAAAAAGGCCACCACTATCCCAGCTGCACCAAAGCAACCGCCCGCTCGCCTGTTGTCTCCGTAAAGACATCTTCCCAAATGTCTTACGCAAGGAGAACATACCCACCACACCAACCCAACCCCAAGAACCGCTACAATATCAGGTCAACTCCGTCCCTTCAGGACAAAATTCAGGCCATCGTTCAGACAATGGCAGCCAGTTTAGTCGCCGTCCTCCAACCACCCACCAATGTCTAACACAACCCACCCAAATAATCTTCGATTAGTTACCTGGAATGCCCATGGCATTAGAGGTAAAGTGACTGAACTCGAGCACTTCATCGAGGAAAAGTCAATCGGTGTTGCATGCATCACCGAAACTTTTTTATTCCAAAAAATCAAGCTTTTTGTCCCAAACTTCACAGCCTACAGATAGGATCGTAAAAACTCCGGCGGCGTAGCCATCCTCGTTAGGAATTCTATCAAGCACAAGCCCACCTCTTTGGCTACCGACTCTTTAGAAGCAGTTGGCATTGAAATCACTTCAACTTCCGACCCTGTCAGAATCATCTCATTATACTCCCCCCCAGACGAAGAGAATCTTTCAAGCCTCCCACTTCCTACTCCCACCAAACGTCTCGACTATAGTCGCAGGCGATCTCAATGCCAAGCACGTCTCATGGGGCTGCCGATATAGTAATAAAAAAGGCATTTCCCTTCCTGCCGACTCTCTTGACTTCGATTTCACAATTGAATCCCCACCAGATCCAACGCACTTCCCGGATCGTCACAACACGCTTCCAGATATTCTAGACGTTTTCCTCACAAGGAACGTTAACCTCTCTTCCGACCCTACAGTTCTTAATGATCTAAGCTCAGATCATCTTCCTGTTCAAATAGATATCGGCCGCCCAACTTACAACCTCCCAAAGCTAACATCCTCGTTAGACTGGCTACATCTGCGCTACACCCTTGGTCATCTTCTTTTAAGTGCTCTCAAATTCGCACAATTGAGGAGCTCGATGAAGCCGTAAATCTCCTTTCAAACGAGATCACTAGCGCCGTCGAGCGCTTCACGACATCCCGCCCAGCCACCACCCCAATCAATGCTCTCCCCGCGGACAATCTTGACCTCTATTAACGAGACCAAATCGGAAGCAATCTTCTTCTCTCGTAGGCTCCGAAAACCTCCCTCCATCATCGTCAACAACCGCCCTATCAAATGGAGCAGCTCCGTCAAGTACTTAGGCGTCTTCGACAGATCCTTAAACTGGCGGCACCACATTACGGCGACCCGTAATAAGGTTATGGGTGCATTCATCGCACTCAAACCTTTCTTTCGAAATAGGACCATCTCCCAACAGACCAAAATCCGAGCGTTTAACGCAATTATTAGGAACATTTGCTCCTATGCCATTCCCGTTTGGGGCTGTGCCCTTCCCCACCGCCTGAAACCCTTGCAAGGCAATTACATGCGGATTCTTCGCTCCGCATTAGACTACCCCTGGTTCGTCAGAAACACACAAATTCTGACCGAAACCGGTTTACCTTCTCTGCCTGAGGCTGCAATTACATTCGCGGCAAATCTCCGGGCTACAGTGTCAGGCCACGCCAACCCCATCATCTCGGCACTCTCCAACTTCGCACCGAAACCCAACGACCGTTTCCGAAGGCCCTGTCACCTTCTACAATGAGCCGCTCCCTTTTGCTCACTTCTTGCTCCCTAGTATCGCTTCTTAGCGCGAGTATCCATCCAGTACTTCAGAGATGGACCACCTACTTCGGTTTCCTCCCCAGCACTCCCTTCTGCCCACACTCTTAACCCATTTCCCATCTCAACCCTATCCCCAATCCCCAGCTTTTCCACTATCTTCCCGGGGATGAACAGTCCACAGGGTTTATCTCCCCGCTCGAGGAGGGGTTTTAGTCGGTAAGAATCCGACACTACCTCCCTTCAGGGGGTGTCTTTCGAAAATTTCCCCTCCTCAAGTATAATCTAAACAAAAAAAAATCAATGAAACAACACAACATTTTGCGCGGAATTACTTCTGACGACATAGCAAACACATTCGCGAAACTTAAAAAAAATTCTCTGGGAGAAGATGGAATAACGAACAGCATAATTAAAAACCTATCGCCTTCAGCAATAGAATATCTTACCTGCATTTACAACGGTATACTTACAACCGGATATAATCCCACAAACTGGAAAAGCGCGAATATAATAATGATACCAGGAAAAAACCATATAGACCCGAAATCATACCGCNTATCTTCCCGGGGATGAACAGTCCACAGGGTTTATCTCCCCGCTCGAGGAGGGGTTTTAGTCGGTAAGAATCCGACACTACCTCCCTTCAGGGGGTGTCTTTCGAAAATTTCCCCTCCTCATGTATAATCTAAACAAAAAAAAAATCAATGAAACAACACAACATTTTGCGCGAAATTACTTCTGACGACATAGCAAACACATTCGCGAAACTTAAAAAAAATTCTCTGGGAGAAGATGGAATAACGAACAGCATAATTAAAAACCTACCGCCTTCAGCAATAGAATATCTTACCTGCATTTACAACGGTATACTTACAACCGGATATAATCCCACAAACTGGAAAAGCGCGAATATAATAATGATACCAGGAAAAAACCATATAGACCGGAAATCATACCGCCCTATCTCCCTAGTAAACAACTCCGGAAAAATATTCGAACGTATTATCGCGTCCCGTCTAACCGAATACTGCGATCACAACCATATCATTCCAAATTTACAAACTGGGTCCCGAAAGGGACGCTCCTCCCTTGACTCAGTCCTAAAACTCCAATCTGAAGTAACTTCGTAGATAAACACAGGCGGCTGCACACTTGCAATCGCCTTAGATTTCGACACTGTATGGCATAACGGCCTCTTGTACAAATTACTTCACATCAACCTTCCACCACACTTCGTGAAAATAATACACTCCTTTCTAACGAACAGACCCTCCCGAATCAAAATCGGTAATATTTTCTCGCGAACTATCTCACTTAATGCAGGAGTACCACAGGGCACAGTGCTCGCCCCACATCTCTACAACATATTCTGCCACGATCTACCCCAACCTATCGAAAACACCGTTAGCCTATGTCAATATGCAGACGATACGGCGTACTAGGCTTAACCTCCTACTCCTGCAACAACAAACTAAAACGTCAAATCAAACTCCTGGAACGATGGCTCAATAAATGGCGATTAAAACCAAACCCAGATAAATCACAACTTATATTATTCACACATGATAGGTATATGTGCAAACCCACATTTTCACCCGACAACATTAATATTCAAATTTGCCGCACCCGCTTACGACTACAAAAGGAAATAAAATACCTAGGAATAACACATACAAAACTTTCGTAAGACCACTAATCGATTACCGAGCAGTTTCACTAACAAACATTTCCGATAGCCAACTAGAAAGGGTCCTCCGCGCCACCGAAAGAGGAATGCTAAGAAAAATCGCCAAATTAGGAAGGTTCTTCCCTTCAGAAGACCTGCACAACGGCGTAGATATCCCACCCATCACAAACCGTATCGTCACATTTCAGATCAAATTTGTTAAAAGGCCATCCAAACAAATAACCCCATTTCCACACATACACTTACACAACCTCCCCGCAGAATAACCACCAAACCCAAACAAAAAGTCACTTTCCCTCCCGCCCGACTCCTGTTCATTACACCCAATCTTCCCGATGATTACATTGACCACCTCAATTCCGTACCCAACTCCATCAGATACCCACAAAACCAACCCAACTACATACAAACACACACAAACACACACACCCCACATACAACTAACACTCACAAAACCTACAATTTAAAATCACAAATCAGATTACAAAA